CTTTTACATGGGCTAGGTGATAATGAATGCTGTTGCTTTGGAAGTGGATAATTTACTAAATTATGTCAGTTAAGGAAGCTGAGTATTGTTGCTGTGAACTTGGGTACAACCTATTCTTTCACTCGTTTCAGCTAGATGTTTGACCATGCTGTTGGTGGGAGTCAGGCAACATATACATTTAAATATTAATAATTATTATTATAGAAAAGTATAATAGGTTGCATGTTGTTTTTTAAATTTTTATTAATAGGTTGCATGTTATAATTGTAGCTGTGTTCTGCCAAAAGGAATAATTGAAAGAGTCATCACAGAATTGAATTCCAAATAAAAAACAAGAAGTAAAATAGGAGAAATAATGTATTAAAGCAGTGGTGGAAACCTGTATCCCTCTAGGTTTTGCTACAACTCAAACATGGATCATTGAGTCACTGCTTAAGGATGTTCACAACCTTTTTTCTCCTTTACGTCAAATATTCACACTATGCATTTTAATAGAAATTGGTGTGTTTGTTTATAGTTTTAAAAATATCTCTTTAATTACAAATGTATTTATATTAATTGCATAACTTTAGAGTTTCCTAAATGTCTATTGGCCCTTATCAGACATTGTTGTTTCTTGTCATTTCAACATATATAGATACCACAATGAAGTGTTTCAAAAACTGTGAGATACATTTCTACATTGTATTTGCATAGAGCCAGTTTGATTCTAGAACCACGGTCTAGTGGTTAAGGCTTCAGGCTAGAAACCAGGAAACTGAGTTCTAGTCATGCCTTAGTCATGAAAGCTGGCTGGGTGTCTTTGGGCCAGTCTCTCTCAGCCCACGACGTCTGGTTTCGGTGACAAGCCGGTTGGTCACTTCTGTCACAACCAATGGATCAACATTTGGTTGATCTGAAAAAAAGCACACCCTGTACCTCTGGGAAAAACACTAGGAAGAAAAAAAAAACTTTTAATAATATCAGTATTTTATTCAAAGTATTTTAAGCTGTAAAGCCAAACCTTCACAAAGCATTTAAGTGGATTAGTTAAAAAAATGCCTTGTTGCTTGTGAATAAAGCCTGACAATATTTGACATACCAGTTACTCATTGCAAATAGAGTGGGTGTCTGCTTAGGTTAGGGCAAGAAAAATGATGGAAAATATGTTATGCTATTAATAGCATACATATTGCTGACTATACTGACATGTATTTTACATCATTATGTCATAGCTGCTGTGCAGTCTAGAATCTTCTGTTGTATTAGGCATGAATCAATTACATAATCATTCACATGAGACAAATGTGAAACATGCTTTTAGATTTGATATACAAAGGAGTTCCATCAATGAATGTAGCTTTGTATCAAGGACTAACAATAGCATATATAACTAGAAAAAATTGACTATCATAAGAATGGATAAGAGCTTTTAAGATTTTTGATGGTATGGAAGAGATATTATTAAGAAACCTTAAGGGGAAGTGAATGGCTTGAGTGAATGACCTTCAAATTCAGTAGTAAACTCTCTGGTTAAGGATGAATGAATACAGATGACAGAGTAGTTTTACTTTCTTTAAAGGCTGCTTTTTTCATTTTTTTTAAGTTCTCAAAGTAGTCCCAAATCACACCACCATTATAGCTAAATTTCAGCAGCATGATTTTAGGTCAGAAACTGCAACATGAAGATGGGAATGGAAGCACTAAGAGATTAATCACTACCATTCTTACTTTTAAAGTTGCATTCCAAAAGAGTTGGCCCTGATCTTCTGATGATGTCACTGCAGTTTTTGTGTCTGACCCATAAGGAGTTCATCCACACGCACACACATGCACATCAGCATGCACACTGAGAAAAATTATTTATTCAAGCTTTTCTACCATTTCAGTCCAAAGGTGCTAAGCAGCTAATAATTCTCCAGTTACAGTAATTAGACTTAAAAGCAATAACTCAGTGTAATAGAACTGGTTCACTCAGCACCCTCTCACCAGCCTTAGGAACAGCTTGTATGAGCCCTGTAGAAGAGCCAGGTCTTGACTGTTCTAGTACATCAGGAGAAATAGGGCCGTCTTTGTTTCTGGAGATAAACTGATCCAAAGAAAAAGATCTGTGGCAGAAGGCTTGTCTCCAGGTATTCTCTCACCGATATTATAAGAAGGGTCACTTGTAACATGACCTTCCTGTTTTTGCTGGATGGGCAGTAAATGCTACAAATATTAATAATATAAATGCATCTATATATGTAATTAGTTAATTTTAGTAGTTTCTCATTCATTTGATGCAAGCATATTTAATTTGCATTCTTTTGGTAAAAGTTTATTTCTGGAGACAGAAGGTATATTTCACTTATAAGCTTTGTTCAATCTCTTAATTGACATAGATATAGATATACTATAAGAAATATGGAACATAAGCATCCAAGTGAAACATAGAATTGCAGATTTAATTTCTTAACCTATATTTATGCAAGATTTGATAGATAAAAGCCATAATTGTTTCAGGAAGGGGTGGGGGTTTTTTCTGGCATGCAGAAATAATTATTTCTATATAATCATTTCTGCATGTGTAGTTCCCAACATCATTGCCACCCTGGCAGTGCAATAGCAAAATTAAAATTTGGTTAGAACTCTAGGATATTATGAGCCACAAAGAAAGATTGTGTTACTTGAGTGACTTGGGCTAATGCCAAAACTGTTGAATAGAAATTTAATGAAGAACTTGAACTTGGGGGAAGGAGAGGATGAGTTTTCTTACGTAGCTTACTGGGATGCACTAGTAATTACCAAACATGGTTACTATAGTAGTTGAAGGTAGCTCATTCCTACCTATGACATTTCTACAAAAGAATAACATAAGGACAAATACTGGGATTATGTTATCTTCAGTAAGGGAGAAAAGGATGAATTATATTTGTGTGTGAGAGAGAGACAGAGAAATGATGTTGACTAAGTTCCTGTGGAGATACTTGTTATCTGTAGCAGATAGGGGTACATCAGGATTGATGTTTTGTGAGATGGGTTGTACAGCAACCCATTATTTCCTCTTCCTTTATTAATCTTCTCTCCTGGCAACTAGAGCTTGGATTTGCTGAAATCATAGTATTGGGATATTTAGCAAAGTACCACAGCAGCCTCTGCTGTCTAAAATATGTAACTTCAGGAAAGAAAACATTGAAATACATTCTGGAAATGTGTTACAATATTACAAAAATGTTTTGTAATAAGTGAATAGAGTACTAGACTTAAACCTAGTAAACCTTGTAGGTTTATTCAGATAGACTTGCCTAAGTCAAGGCTAGTAGTATTATTAAATATAAGTGAACAAATTAAGCTTCACTCCAGACATGGTAAATCTTTGATCAGTGGAGAGACCAACTTCATACCTGGAGGTACAGCTTGTGAAAGCAATAAGGGAACTGTTCTGAAGGATTATGCTTATAGATGGGGGTGCTGTAATTTAATTAGGAATCCCTTTGCTCAACAAAAGAATAACATAAGGACAAATACTGGGATTATGTTATCTTCAGTAAGGGAGAAAAGGATGAATTATATTTGTGTGAGAGAAAGACAGAGAAATGATGTTGACTAAGTTCCTGTGGAGATACTTGTTATCTATAGCAGATAGGGGTACATCAGGATTGATGTTTTGTGAGATGGGTTGTACAGCAACCCATTATTGTTTCCAGCTGCACCCTTTCCCCAAAAAGGCATATTTTGCCACAATGAAGCTTGCTTTTAATTATATTTTCTAAAAATTGTCTATCTTTATTATTTATCACATTTGTATAGGTGCTCATCTCACATAGTGACTTTGGATGGCATAATAAAACAATCTAATACATAAAACCAGTAAAAGCAGCCAATTTAAATTAAAAAGATTTTTAAAATGGTGGAAAAGTATACAAAAACGTATTCAATTAACTATCATATATCCATCTAGCAGGCTCCACTCTTATTGTGGGATCCCCAGTCCCAATGACAGAAACATGTTTTAAGGGCCTTCAGAGTTGGGGCCTGCCTCATCTCTGGGGGAATGATTTTCTGCAGGATGGGGGCTATGATACAAAAGGCTTTCCTCCTAGGTCCTGCCTAATGAAGTTCCGTGGCTGAGAGGACAGAATTGATTTGATCAGGAAAAAGGATTTCATGTTGTGGATGATAAAAGTACAGTCCTCAGGTGAAGCTTGGTTCCAGGATGCTTCTAGGAGATGGCCATGTAGTTTTCTTTGCAACAGTCCCGAAGTATATTTCCACAGCATTTGGCCAACCTTTCCTTGGCTTCAAGCTAAGTATGGTCAGGTCCAGTTCATGCTTCCCTGGGAGACATCAGGGAATTTTGAGCTGGAGGCTAGACTAGTAAATTAAAGAAAAAAAAATCCCAGAAAAAGGCAGTAGCAAGCCACATTTGTGCTATTGCCAAGGCAACTGCTTGGATATATTCATATTATCATCAGGTGCTGAATTCAACTTGAAGGAAAATTTACTTTTTAATGTGGAAATTTTTTATTGTTGCCTTATTGTATTCTAGTCTAGTGTACAGCTACCAGGTGTTTCCTGGTAGTTTTATTTCTGAGGTTCTAACTAAGTCCAAACTTGGTTATCTTTCCACAGTTGTCTGGGTGCTGCCACATAATTGGGCTGGATATGATTAGGAAAGGAATAAAAAACTGTGTCAATATTATAATGCTTTTAGACAAATCTATAGTCTACAATTTAAATATGATACAAGATACTACTTATCACAAAGGATATTGTAGCATTCCAGAAAGTGTTAAAAATGATAACAAAGACAAATAGAGCAACTCTCCTTTAAATATTATGTTGGTGGCTTTTTAATTTAGAAAAAGCTTGACAAAGGAGCATGATAGACATATGTAGCATATGTATATAAAGTTACATGTGATATTTCAAGACTAGATAAAGTGTATTATTGAGAGAGAAAATTTTGAACCTGAATCATCCTATGAAACTCTATGATGGGAGATCAAGGCCAAAGCTTTTACCCAACTCACATTTAAACTATGGAATTTGCTACCATTAGAGGTAATTATGATGTAAACCAAGTTGGTTGGTTTAAAGGGAGCTTTGGTACATTAACCTTGTTACATTGTTGGATACAGGAGAAAGATGGAATGCAATATTGCTTTATCTGGAATATTGTTTCTAATAACAGTGGTATACTTCTACATCAACCAGTTCCTTGGGTGCTTGAAACATCCTGCTGTGTTCCTTTTGTTTGTGGTTAATATATCAATTCCAAAACTCTATTGACATTTTGTTGTAGATGACTGCTACGTTCCATTTTGTTTCTGTGCTGCTTCTCGTATACATGAAACTATTGGAGAAGATCATCCTGAGTTTTGGAATGTAGCATCATCAGCTTCCTGATGGTTTCTCATGCTATTTCTTTTCATCTAATCTAGATAAGGCTAGAGATTTCCTGAATAGGTAACTAGATTTGTTAAAGGGCTTGGTGAAAAACAGTAAATTAAAACTTAAACTGGCTGAGGATTTATAGTTGATGCAACTATCACATTTCACTACATTCTCTTCCTTGCCTAGTAACTTTGTTGTTAGATACCCATGTGCATCCTTTTCTTTTTGTGGTTCTTTCCATGTCTATTTACTGGTGCTTATTTTTGCTCTTAATAAAGTTATTCTGACCACTTTGATATTTAGTGAACTTTTCCTTGATATTTTATGATAAATTGGACTTGAAGGTGGTCATCCATCCACAAAGATGTTTCAGTGCAGCAGAGACACCTCTAAATTAGGGAGAAGTAATTTTACTCAGCTGTTCTGTGTCCCACAAAGTTGGGTTCTGTTATTGGTTGAGAAAAGTTAAGTCTTAGACAAGTTAAGCATGATACTAGTGATTATGCAGACATATTCTTGTAGTTTTCTTTGTGGAAATGGTTTCCCATTACCTTCTTCCAGGATATTTTGTTTTTACTTCCCATTTAACATTCAACCCTGGTATTCCCCAAAGGTCTCCCATCCAAGTATTAGATTAGCCAGGCCCAATCCAATTTAGCTTCTGAACTCCGAAAAGGTCAGTCAGGTTCTGCCAGGCAAACTGCTTTCAAGACCACAGCCAAAATATAGCATAGTAGTTAACATATACAGATATTTCACTAAAATAAAAGTGCATTGCTTTTTCTTTACAGATGTTTACAGATGGAATCACAAATAAACTTATTGGCTGTTACGTGGATGAAAAAATGGATGATGTTGTCCTTGTGAGAATTTATGGGAATAAGACAGAACTCTTAGTTGATCGAGAAGAAGAAGTGAAGAGCTTCCGTGTGCTGCAGGCCCATGGCTGTGCACCACAGCTTTACTGCACTTTCAGTAATGGCCTGTGCTATGAGTTCATGCAAGGAGAAGCTCTGGATCCAGAACATGTTTGCAACCCAGAGATATTCCGGTAAGCGTTTTGGAACTTTTCTTTCACAGTGAATTTATTCGAACAAGCTGCTAGCTGCAATACCATGCTACATTGTTTGTAGTGTTTTTTGGTTAAATAAATCCCATTTTCCAGGGAAAACAATTTGATTCCTAAAAGGGAACTATTGTTCTAAAATACAGTTATTTAATAGCTTAAAACTCTATAGTTAGTTAATGGTGTAGATGTTTAAATAAAACATTTTACTCAATTATTCCAGTGTCACTTTTGCTGTGCAGCATTGTTTTGTGATTGAGTGATAGTGTAGCTTCTTTCTCTTAGGTATTGTGTAATTTTGCTGTCAAATATTTTTGTTTTTTTATTCAGATCACATCTTGAAATATTTCCCACTGCATCTGGTATAGTCATTGTCATCTTCTATCCAAAGGGGGCACATTTTATTCCTGCAGCTTGCAAGGTTTTTCTTGCTAAGGTCATCTCTCAGCTTCTTTATGGTGTTCTGATTTGCATTTTTACAAAGTTCAGTATTCTGGAAGCTGTCCAGTCCAAATTTATAAGAGCAATACTCGCAGTTCGCTTGCAAGGTTTTTCTTGCTAAGGTCATCTCTCAGCTTCTTTATGGTGTTCTGATTTGCATTTTTACAAAGTTCAGTATTCTGGAAGCTGTCCAGTCCAAATTTATAAGAGCAATACTCGCAGTTCCAAGTTGCATCAAGAATGCCATTTTATGGTTAGAGACAGGTTTGGTTCCTATGGGTACCAAAGCTGGGTTCTATCTCCTTAATTTCTGGTTGAAATTGATTTTTTTTTTCCTGTGGGTCTGGCTCCACTGGTTCTCAGAGACCATTTTAAATCAACTAAAGCTAATAGAAAACTCCAGTCCTTAGGACTTTCTTTGGAAAGTCTCTGTCCATTAGGGCTTGAAATGCCAGGAGT